GGCGGGGCCCCGGCGCCGTCCCAGAGCTGCAGCGAGTCCAGGTGCTCCTGGATGTCCCCGATGTCCATCCGCTCCGGGGGCTCCTCGGGGACACGGCCTGGGCACAGCCGGACACGGCGCGGGCTGGCACCGGCACCGGGCAAAACACCGGCACCGGGCACAAACACCGGCACCGGGCACAAACACCGGCACCGGCACCGGGCACAAACACCGGCACCGGGCACAAAAACCGGTACCGGGCACAAACACCGGCACCAACACCAGCACCAGGCACAAACACCGGCACCGGGCACAAACACCGGCACCAACACCAGACGCCGGGCACAAACACCGGCACCGGGCACTGGCACTGGCACAGGCGGCACCGGAGAGGGACGGGGCAGCAGGGAGAGGACAGGAGGGGAAAAGGAGAAGGAAGGAGCAGGGGCAGGGACAGGGGGAGGAAATAACAGCATGATGAAAAACAGGAACAGGCTGAGGATGAGGAGGAAGGAGTGGGATGAGGATGAAGAGGGGGCAGGCTGAGGATGAGGAGGGACAGGCTGAGGATGAGGAGGAAGAGGCAGGCTGAGGATGAGAAAGGCACAGGCTGAGGATGAAGAGGAAGAGGCAGGCTGAGGATGAGGAAGGGGCAGGCTGAGGATGAGGAAGGCACAGGCTGAGGATGAGGAAGGCACAGGCTGAGGATGAGGAAGGGGCAGGCTGAGGATGAGGAGGGGCAGGCTGAGGATGAGGAGGGGCAGGCTGAGGATGAGGAAGGCACAGGCTGAGGATGAGGAAGGGCAGGCTGAGGATGAGGAAGGGCAGGCTGAGGATGAGGAAGGGCAGGCTGAGGATGAGGAAGGGGCAGGCTGAGGATGAGGAAGGCACAGGCTGAGGATGAGGAGGGGCAGGCTGAGGATGAGGAAGGGCAGGCTGAGGATGAGGAAGGCACAGGCTGAGGATGAGGAAGGGCAGGCTGAGGATGAGGAAGGGCAGGCTGAGGATGAGGAAGGCACAGGCTGAGGATGAGGAGGGGCAGGCTGAGGATGAG